GTTGTTATCTTGTTAAAGCAGGCAGATATAATAATATTTTTAATGACCCCAACTTAATTTCTGGACCAAATGCTGAACACAGAGCTTTCTGTAGGGCGACCTGGATGTCAAGTTCCTAAATTGCTGCATTTAGAGAATGTTGATTCTAGTATGTTGTTGCTGAGAAAGGAGTATGCTTGGCATATAGGAGGAGCTCTTTCCCAACAAGAGCTGGAGGAATGGAAACTTTTGTATCACAGTACTTTAAATGGCTTAAGTTTCAATACATTTTTGGGCAGCATAACGTAAGTAGCTTGCCTCTTTTATGCAACTTTTCTAGCTATAAATATTTGTTAGTTTTCTTTGCATGATTCTGTAAGTCTCTGTAAGTTATGGCATTGCTTATTGGTGAATTTCTTCTCAATTTAAATCTGGACCTGAAAATATGTTGATGCATTCCATTCTATTCAGAACTTATTGTGATTGTCGTGTGATTGTCCTGAGCTTGCCCTACATTTTCATTGCTAATAAACTCCATTATTCAATGATATGCTAAATGGTTTTTCCTACACCTCCCACTGCTGCACTGCTGCCTTAGTTTTAGGTACATGGATTGCATTTGTTGTCTACACTATTATATAAAGTCATCTTCTTATTTCACCAACTCTGCAGCTTTGATTTTATTTTTCAAATGAGTTAACTCTTACCATTGTAGTAAAAAGCTTCTCTTTTCATTTTGGCAAGTAATAACTAGAAAATTTCATTAATACTTATGTCCACAAGTATGTAAATGAGTGGCACAGGTTGCCCTTGAATAAAATGGTGATAGCATTCCACGGTATATATATGCTTTTGTTTTTCCTTTGATTCTTTTTATTGTTTTTTCAAGAAAGTGTAAATGCTGAGTCCTTGCTAACTTTATTTCAGTTTCTCTTTCTGGACTACTTTTTAACTAGGAGAGGAATGGATAATTGTTCAATTGAACTGCAGAAATGATAATGGGCCAACTGCTGTGATTATTAAGGATAATGAAGGTTATATATATGGGGGTTATGCTTCCCAGCCTTGGGAGAGGCATAGTGATTTCTATGGAGATATGAAGTCTTTTCTATTTCAGCTCCATCCAAAGGCATCTATATTCAGACCAACTGGGGCCAACAATAATTTACAATGGGTATGTTTCTACTTGCTTTCCTAGTTTGCTGAAACAAATGTGCTTTGAATTGTTTGTTTGTTTGATTCCACTGAATGGTCCTAACACTTTTGATGCCACGAATGGAATTTCTTTCTTTATTTAGCTTGCTGTGATTAGTAAAGCCCTGTAGGAAAGATTTATGATATCATTCACTTGGTGCTGTAGGTAGTTGGATATTTGTATTTCAACACTGTTTTGCAAAGATATCTGCAAATGTTAAGCTCTGTTATAACTAGAAGGGTACTGTAAAATGGATCATTGCTTATTTGATAGGTCTTAGTGGAAAATAAATTGTTCAATCTGTGAAAGTTAATTCAAGGGTTTTCCTGTCTCTTAAATCATTGATGAAACAGGGTTTGACACTGGAATAGAAAGAAATTTAATTCTATTGTCACCTTAATTGACCATTCATACTCTTCTTTTTTTTTCCTGAAAAAGTATATTTTCTTTTGTTTCTTTTGTCTCAAGTTTCTACTTTAGTAGTTGGAAAGTAGCACCCAGTTTCCATGGTTGGCGGTATTCTATTTCCTTCTAGTGTAGACTAGCATTTCCATCCTCATTTTTATGTTTATGCATGTATTTAGTTGTATTGTCTTTATTTTTGGCCTTCAGTATTATTGTTGTTCAACTGCCTATTGTTGTTTTGTTCAACTGACTTATGTAGCTTACAATTTCCAATTGGCAGTGTGCTGTGAGTTTCAGTTCAGAGGCCATTCCAAATGGCATTGGGTTTGGAGGGCGAGTTAATCACTTTGGCCTGTTCCTCTCAGCAGGCCTTGATCAGGGACACACTTTCTCTTGCACAACGTTCAACAGCCCTTGCCTTTCAAAGAACAGTAAAATCTGCCCGGAAGTGATAGAATGCTGGGGAGCCGTAAGGAAAGGAAAACAAGAAGAAAGACAAGATGCTCTCAAAGGTAATGTGTTAGAAAGGTTTAAGGAGGACCGGAATATGCTCAATATGGTAGGGATTGCAAATGCTAGCGAGTAAATATGTTCATCTTTGGCCTGCACCTTCGGATGGGGCTTCAACATTCAGATCAGTGCTTAAGGTTAGAAGTCCTGTTCAATGTCTGTCTAGTTCAAAGGAAAATTGTGTTTATCCCGAGTTCCTGATTCCTCAATCAAACAGAACTTTATTTATTTATTTATTTTTATCAATATAATCCTCATGTAGACGCCAAATCCTCTCCTCCAACTACAAAAATTTACTGGTGGTTTGAAATAGGAAATTACAACAGTGTTTATGAGGATCCATACACTAATCTACTCATCTCACAGAAATACTTTTATGCCTCTTTCTTTAGCTAGAAGTAGTAATTATAATGTTTCTTCATTCCTTGCAAAGAAATATCAAATAATATGAATTATTTAACTCTTCCAGTGCTCCCCCGTTGCTTAAGTTTCAATACATTCGTGGACAGCATAATGTAACTAGCTTGCCTCTTTAATGCAACATTTAGATTTATGATGTCATTCACTTGATACTAACAAAAGTTTGGCTAAATTGGTATCTACTAACTTAAAAGTTCTAATTTGAGGTTAAGATTTGAGATTTAAATATCTTTGATATTAAACAATTAACTTTCTGATTTAACATATATAAAAAAAAGATATCATTATTCATTCAGTTGATGTAGCAAGTGGTTATAATAGAATAATTGTTCAAACCCTGAAAGTTGATTAAAAGATATTTTGCATCTAAGTTTTTTTATGACGGATCAAATATGTTTTTACATCTTTTCTCTTTAAATCATTGGTGAAAATGCATTCAGTACTGGAATAAAATAGATTTTAATTTTTGATTTTTTTTTTTTAACCTGAAAAAGGGTTCTTTCATCTCAACTTTCTACTCTGGTGTTGGAATGTAACTGCATGGTAACATCTCTCTCGAACGTTTCAGCACCTCCTTCACCGCAGCTCCTCCTTTGGACTTTGCTGCCTCAAAGGATTTGGAGGTTCAGCAACATCAAGGTTGCATCTAACGTAGACTTTATCTAAAAAGCACTGGAATTTCTATCAACTACGTACTTTTGTGTATTTTTCATCTTCTACACCTTCCTGGGGCTTAGGATTTGGCTACTTGGTCAACAAAGTAATTTGATGCAGTGCACTGAGTACCCTGTTGGTCCGCAGGGAATTACTATTTATATCTCAGTGGCACAATCCCAGAATATTACTCTTTTACTGACGGCAAGATGGGAGTAAAACTAGTTTCAATATGATAGAAGCATGTCGACATGACTATTAGATAACCTTCCTTCACTCGGTCCAAGAATATAACAATTGTAGTAGAGAAGTAATTTGGTAGTGTTAAGATGTGAACATAATTATATTTAGAATTATTGTAAATATTTTATACTTTAGAATATTTTCTTTTTATACTTTAGAATATTTTCTTTTTATACTTTATACCTTAGAATATTCTCTTTGTAAACATCTATATATAGGTCATTGTACATACAGTATAATTCAAGAAAGCAATAAACCTTTCTTCAGATAAAAATAAAAAAAATATATATATATATATATATATATAAACCTGAGAAAGGTTTCTTTCATCTCAAGTTTTTACTTTAGTTTTGGTGGCAATTAACAAATATTGAGTAGGATGGAGAAAAAATATTGTAGGCTATATTACTCACAGATGTACAAAGGTACATATATATACGGAGGAGAATGTGTAGCCCTAGAATCGTACCCATAAACAAGGAAAGATTTAGCAATAATAGTAGAGGACATACAAATCAATAATATCAATTTAATATTTCCTTAACAGCATATGTATGGCAAGATCTCACTTTGTTGAAGATTTAGATATCCTGACTTACATTGCGGCCGGAAAGATCTTTCATCATGTGGGAATTTATAGTTTGTCTGTGGTAAGTATTTAGAGATGACTACCTCCAGAGACAGTAGACGGGAGGTGTGTGGCCACATATACATGTGGGACAATGGATTAACAACAAAAAACAATTAAAGAAGAATTTAGCACTTTAAAGTTTGAAATCTTCAAAAAAGTTATACATCCACCAAATGGTTATTACAACTGCAGCAAATACAGAAGTCTAATCAATCAACTAACTATGACTAACCGGTTAAAGCATAGTTAGATATCTATGACTACAATCATTTATTCTAAGCAACAAGTATGTATTAAATAAAAAAAATCATTTATTCAAAGGAACATTCATTTAAGTGACTAATTTACTGGCATCACTACACACTGCAAGAATTTTACCGCTGTCCTCAAGGCCTCAAGCTGCTCATCCCAAAAGTGAACATATCCGTCATTCTCATCCAGGATCTTTCTTTCCTACCAAAGATGTTTGGGTTAAAACTTAAAAGTCAACCAAAATCTCAGCTAGAAGAGGAAGTTGCAACCACACGAAGCATGCGACAGGAATACCAGCCAGCAGAGTTATAGGAATGACTACCCCCAATCGACTTTGTAGCATAATGAAAAGAGCAGCACAAAATGCTATCATCATTGTTGCAATAGAGATGAAGAGTGAAGTAAGGCCGATAATCAAGAGTAAGTATTTGCGGTAATCTTCATCAGAATGATGTGAAGTCAGAATCCCCAAAAAGAGTAACACTGAATTGGATGCAGCGAAAAGAGAAATTGCGTCTGATACCATAAAAACAATAAACGGTATCGGAGTTCGGTGCAAAAGTATGGGAAATCCTGTACCTTGATCATTCCCACCAGGAACCGTAAAAGCCATTGCAAACATAATTGTAATAATAAGAGCACCAACGACTGTTGAAGATTCTGCTGTTTTCTTCGCCCATTCGTCTGCTTCTTTTAGCAAATCCTTGTGTTCTTTAACAAACACTTCCAAAGGGGTTTCATCGTCTTTATTTTTGCCTTCGTTGTAGGCTCGTGGAACAATTTCTTTGACGGCCTACAATTGTTTAATAATGTTATATATGCTAAATGAGAAACTAATAATATACAATATCAAATATATGTATAGTATATAAATCTATTTACATATACATTTTACTTATTACACTTAAACAAAATCTAAACTATTCATTTTTTTTACTTTTAATAATTAAAATTCATTCACTTTTATTAAAAATAATTATTTTTATCTAAAAAGTTGTAATAAATTTTGACAATTGAAGGTAAAAAAATGATTTGTCAAGATTTTATATAAATATAATATATAAAAATTATGTGTATGATCCACTTATATATAAGTTTTACATACCATATTTAAGCAAAATTTTGAGATTTATTCATTTTTATCATTTTTATTAAAGATAATTATTTTTTAATTTAAAAAATCATAATAAATTTTAACCATTAAAAGCGAAATGATAAATTATTAATATTTTATATATGTAAAATGTGTAAAACATATGTAGGTGAATCCCTATTCATATGTATATAATAATAAATGGAACTAATAATGGAACATAAGTTACATAATTTAAAATATTAAAATATAAATCTTATATTATATTTTTATTTTTTTAAACCCATAATATTACATGTATCAATTTATTTAAGCCATGTCATTGGTTCTAAATTTTGATCCCAACTTTTCATTCTCCTACCATTACCCATATATATATATATAATATTTTTGGAGTTAGGTAAATAAAAGATTAAAATGCAAATAGATTTTCATTGAATAAAAGAATAAAAAATCAATAAGATTAGTTATCTCAATTGAAACAAACTTACCTTCTTGACAAAAAATGTCTCGACAAATGAAATATATTTTTAGGATGAAATTAAGATATATTTCATAAAAATAATTTGATGCACAATTCATAGTATAAAAAATAATATATACTAGAAAAGAGGAGTATATGAATAAGGAATTATATGAGATTTCTCACTACTTAATTAGAAAAAACAAATAAAAATAAAAGATATTTACCTTGAACCAACGTAGTTCATTCTGCAGCTGCAAAGCTGCAGCATGGATGTAACCTAATTGATAATGCGGGGCTAACTTTGCTGCTAGATGTAATGTATTATTTCTATCTTCATCGATGGTAAAAAGTATGCTTTTGTCCTCCTTTGCAGATTTATAAAGAAAGTGTGCCACTTCCTCTTGACGATGTTCTACAGCACAAGCAAATATGTTATTTAAATTTTCAGGATCTCTGCTGCTCCATAATATATTTGCATTATGTAGATCTCTTGTAATTTCCATCACAATGTTTGGGATGCCATTCTTGATAGCCTGGAAGATTGCTTCCACTGCTTGACATTGCACAAAATCGTTCTGATCTAATTTTGATACTGGCTGACATATTAAATATATAACCTTCCGGGCATACTCATCCATCAACTTTCCACCATATATATTCTTCGCTAATAACAAAAGAAGAACAAAAACAACTTTAGTGTAAAGAAGAATCAAGATATAGAACAAAAACGAAGAAAAGACTCATTGAGTCGACGTAGTATTTCTTACCCAAGAACTTTGAGAGCAACGAAACCAGTATGCGTAACGCCACTACAATGAATGAGTATATATATTTAGGATCAGAAGGAATGAGTTTCATATTTGCAATTTATTGCCTTTATAAAGGTTAGCTAAAATTTGTATGCATATTGTCATTGAGTGAATGTTATTGCTTATTGCTTACCGTAGATCAGTTTACCAAGGATCAGTAGCATTGAAAGCATGATTAGGGCTAGCATCCCTACAGCGAATGAGTTATATTCAAGATTAGGAAGAATGAGAGTTTCATAAGTACAATATAATTGATTTTTTTTCCATAATCTTTAGTTAAAAAGTTGCCTCGATCTACTCATAATATAAAAATAAAAAATGACCTTAATCCAAACAAAAGGAATAGCAGACACATCCATCAATATGCTTTGCTGATAAAGATATAACATGAAAATAAATTAAGGGAATGAAAGTCTCATTAAGTAAACATTATTGCTTACCAATCAGAGAAACTGAGATAAGCAGTACTGCAACAGGAAACACTGCGGTGAATGAGTAATACTTAGAATTCCAAAGGAATAAAATTTATAAGAGTAATGATCCGCGGAACGACGTTGCGGGTCGATTTTGGGAGACGACAAGTGAAGCAGTCTCAACAGCAATTATCGTCTCCCAAAATCGTCTCGTAACATCGTCCCGCGGATCATTACTGATTTTATAAATACAATAACTGATTGTTGTTTTTATAATCTTTGGCCCAAAAGATTGGCTTTTATCTCACAGGAACAAAAAATGATCTTAGTCCAAATTATTATAAAACAGAATTAAAAATTAATATATAAATGCAATGACTTTGAATCATGCATTTGCTTATTGATAAAAATATATATATTTGCTTTAATTTTAAAAAATAAAAAATCATAATAAAAATTTAACATAAAAAAAATAAAAAGCTAATTGAGTCGATGTTACTACATACCAATTGACATAACAGGCACTGCAATAATGAACTTCAGTAGTCCTTCTAATAGATACACTGCAATGAATGAATTATATTCATCAATCAGAAAGAAAGGAACTACAATAATTAGTTACTTTTCTATAATCTTAATTTAGCCAAAAAGATTGCCTTAAACTCAGCGCACAAACAGGCAAATATATATAAATACACACATACAAAGGGTAGTGTATATTACTCTCGATTATAAAAAAAAAAAAATTAAAGTTTCAATTTATATTTAAAAGTTAAAGTTTGAATTCAAAATTCAAAAATTTACTTTATTAATTTACCTTATTAAATGTTGATATTTAAATATGAAAGTTAATTATATATTTTAATATAATTAATTTTCAAATCTAAATATCAATATTTAATAGGATGAATTTTTAAATTTTAGATTAAATTTTAATTAAATAAAATGACATGAAATAGTGTTGGGACTCCAAATTTTTTAGAAGTTAGGATTAATATGCACTATTTTATATGTATATATATATATATATAAGTCAAAATTGATATGCACTTTTTTCATATATATATATATATAGAGAAAATAATGCATATCAATCCAAACTTCCAAAGAAATTAGAGTTCCAATATTAAATGATGTCGTTTGATTTAATTAAAATCCAATTCAAAATTCAAAAATCAACTTTATTAAATATTGATGTTTGCATTTGGAAACTAAAAATTCAATTTAAAATTCAAAAATGCATTTTATTAAATATTAATATTTGAATTTGAAAACTAATTATATTAAAATATATAATCAATTTCTAAATTAAAAAATCAACATTTAATAAAATAGATTTTTAAATTTTAAATTAAATTTCAATTAAATAAAACAATATCTTTAAAGTTGAAACTCTAATTTTTTTTTTAATCAAGACTTATATGCACTTTTTTCATATATATTTATATAAAAACTAATAATGAATTTAATTCAAATTATAAAACGAAAGCAATAATATTTAATCATTATGAAACTCAAATAAGAATCAAGATATAGCACAAAAAAGAAGGCATATAACTCATTCTACAAATATTCACTGATTAAAAATAAGAATCCAAATAAATTTTCTATGTTGATTAAAAAAGGAACATATATTGATATATTATTTCTACAAAGTGCAGCTTTTGTGCCAGCCATCTACCCAACAAATTCTACTACTAAGAGTTTGGTTGGGTTGGGTTGATTTTCACTAATTTAATTAAAAATTTTAATTTAAGATAAAGGTTAAAGGTTAAAATCTCATTATTCCAGGTAGATAAACCTCTTATGTACTGAATAAAAAAAAAAATCTACCCAACAAATTATACAAAGTCATTAGAGCAAATTTGCAAATACTAAAAGAATATATACCGCAGAAGTCTTCAAATGATTGATGAAAAATTTCTTGAATCGTCTCTTCACATGACTGAAAACCGTGTTGGACCATCGCTCCACATGAATGGAATAAGGCCAGGATCTTCTCTACACATGATTCATAAAAATCTTGGATCTTCTGTACGCATGTCTGAAATAAGTATTGGATCTTCTCTACACATGATTGATGCTTATCCTCTTTGATGACGCATGCCTTCACTCTTATGCCTTGAATTACAATCACAATTTCAATCGATAAAGGAAAAGAAGGAAAGAAAGAAAGAAAGAAAGAAAGAAAAAAGATGGAAAAAAACCCAAATAGGTTATGAGAGTTGTTAGGAATCTAAGATTAAATTTGTTTTTAGCCAAACAATTATTAAATGGATAAAACTACGTTTACCCTCCTCCGTTACACCCTCCATTACACACACTCATCTCCGTTACTTTGTCCTTAATGCCCAAACGCTCATCCTCACCATCACCGCCACCTTCTTCCTCTCCCTTCATCCCTC